CTCCCCTTACCACTAAATACCCCCCGAAATATCAGTTAGTATTTCAATCAATGCAAATAGATTCTGAATCAACAATTAACACAGAAACAAAAAGAAAACAACCACCCAACTCTTCAAGCAAAAACCAAATTAAAAGGAACAAACGCAAGAAATAGAATTGAAAATGTGAACAACAATTAAAGATATAAAATCACAGACCTGACAAAAATGGGCACGAAACGTCACGCACACGACGTGCATCACTTGTAAATGAAAATGTACATGGAAAATGTAACGTACATGAAAAGTTGTGAACGACGCAAAGTACCTGTCACTGAAATCACACATGAAAAATGTAACATAATACAATGTATCCTACTGCTAAGGCACTGGTACCACATGTCGACAAAAATACAAGAAAAAGTAGTCTACAAGTTGTGTCGTAGCTGCCGAGATACTGTACTCAGTCTGCTGCAACCAACGTTCCTCTACGAACATCCTACTGGTATCAAAATCATACACACCAAAAACGAAGGAAACAACAACTACAACATGCACACTACCACTGAGTGCCTAACAATACGAAGACAAGACGACACGACAAAAAAAAGCAGGACCGCACAACATGATGAAGTACAGTGCGAGAAGGGGAAAAGAGGAGTGTTGGCCTCACGGTCAACGACCCTTCTTCCCCTTCCCACTCTGTCTCATCGTACCCCCTCGAGTGTCGGATGTCGACCTCCTCCTCCCTCGTGCGGATGAAGAAGTCTGCACAGCGGAGCGTCTAGATGCACGTGTCGACGGGGGAGGTGGGGGCCCATCATCGTCATAGTCGTCGTCACCACCGGAACCGCTCTCGCTCTCCTCCTCACCCTCCTCCTCGCCCTCATAGTCCTTGTCCTCCTCCCGCACTGCCGCATCCGTCTCAGGATCCTCCTCCTCGATGGTGACAGGGCCTCCTCCCTTCCTCAACACAACAACCCTTGCACAAGCCTCTGCGACCGTCTGCTCACAGCGGGATCCAGGAGGCATCCCCAACCCCTCCGCTCCCGAAATTTCTCCAAGCGCAGCGCCTCCCTCTGCAGCCACAGGGCGTGGACGAGGAGGCACTCCACGCTTGCATGGAGTCTGCTCATGCACGGCACGCGTCGCTGCTCTCAGAGCGTACTCCAAGGTCTCGATGGACACTCCTCTACCGCGACCTCGTTGAGGCTCACAACCTGATGTTGGTACCTCCCTCGCTGTGGTCGTCCTGGTGCCGCGGGGTCCCAAGGCTGGCTGAAGGCGTGCAGTGTGCTCCGTGACATGGCGGGTGGAATCCAAATCTATGTCTGTCCTCCCGAATAATGTTGTGTCACACACGTCTGTTGAACTGCTGTCGTGTCACGAATCCTCGATCTCCCAGGCGTCTGTGGGGATCGAGAGCCTTTACCTGTGGGCGACGATGATGGATCACCTACAGGTGGTCTAGGAGGAGGGGGTGGCATATCTCCTTGATGTGGCGCTGTCTCCTGTACGCCACCTGAAACCCCTGGAACATCTCCCACAGTACGTCCTCCAGTGGAGGTAGACCCAGACCACACGGGCGACGCAGGACCCCATGGAACCGAAGGGATCGCCTGCCATGCTGGATGCTCGAGCCTCTGATCGAAGATCCGCCGGTCCAATCGAGTAACATCGCACACAACATCTCTCGCCAACTCCTCTGCATCCAAAGGACGACAGACCTCCTGCGGAGCAAAGTGACTAGGAGGACGTGGAGGCACCACCACCGGCTCGGACCCCATATCCGTGATAACGGGCGGTGGCACACCATGCACTGCCACCTGAACCGGCTGCGACTGTCGGCCCTTAGCCAAGTGCAGGCCCGAGAACGGAATGATTGGACCCGTCGCTGTCTCCTGAACCACGGGCCGTGCGTCTGTAGCCTCCTCGTCTTGCCGCTATCCTGCCTGCACAGCCTCATCCACCGCTTGTGGTCGGCCCTCCACAGGAACATCCACTGCCACTGGCCCACCCTGCATAACCCCATCGTCCGCCTCTGCTGCCACTCCCTCCATAACGTCTTCCCCAGCCACCACCCCACCCTGCAGACCATCCCCCCCTGTCTCTCGACGCCTGGCCTCCTCCAAGGCCCGTGCGAACGCCTGAGCACGCGGGTTACTCGATTGCCATAAGTCGAGCCCTCTCTCGCTCTATGATTTCGCATGTTGTATCTGGAGATTCCGCCTGCATCCCCTCTCTCGGGTTCTGCATCCCCATCGCGTCTGCTGCGTCGTCTCGTGATGGCGCCCGATCCGTCGATGTCGCCCCGCTGCAAGTAGGTGGAGCGCCTGTCGACAAGTCAAAGTCGAAGTGCGTCCCCATCTCTAACCCCGCCCCCCCTGTGGGAGCAAAAATCCCCAGCTCCATCGCCGCCCCCGGGGTCAAACCCCCCATGACTGGATCGACCTCCTCCGTGATGAAGCGCCTCACGAGCTGCTCATCGGTGTCCGCACCGTCATGATCCATAGGAACGGCCTCCTGCGGCGCCGCTGCCGCTACCTCCTCCTCAACCGTCGCATATGCTGGCACCTCCTCCCCCGTTGTCCAGATTGCTGGTGCCTCCTGCGCCGCTGCTGCCACAACCCCCTCCTCCTGCAATACCCTCGAGGAAGGTGATTGTAACCTCAATTGTCGAACCACTGTCGATCTCTGGAGAAGCCCGTGAGGAGGCAAGGAGGATGCGAACTCCTCCGTCTCCGCCTGTGTAGTGGCCGGCTGAAGAGGCGAGATGGGGGTGGGCGGTGCACGACTCGGCGCAAGAGGTGGCTGAATGGCCGACTCTCACCCCGCAGGAGTAGGAGTCGGCCTCGCCGCCTCTGTGCGGCTCGTGTCGGCATGAGAGGTCCCGCCTCTGTCAGCACGCACATCACCCGTAGAAGCCACCTCCCCGAAAGGGCCCCATAAATCCTCGTCCCCCACCTGCATCTCCCTCTCTGCCCGGTCAGCTGCCCGTCGTGCTGTGTATGTCCTCACCTCGGCGTCATTGACGTCCCCAGGGACGATCTTGTTGGGGATGGGCAGCGCAGGGTCATCTACTCCCCCGAGTGTAGGCTCCTCATCCGAGTCATCGTCCCTGGGGTACAAACGGAAAATGCAAGCACGTCTCTCGAAAACGGCATCAGCGGATGGCGGTGCGGAAGAACTGATGGGATCGCGCGTAATATTAAGCGCAACCTGCTCTGCAATCTCCTCCGCGGTCATCTCGTGGCGCGTGCCCATGCGCACCGGCTCAACCTCCAGTCCTGCCACGCAGTCCAACATCCCCTTGTCACGCGGCCATGGCAACACGTAACCTCATCCTGCCGGCCGATACTCTGTCAACCGCACATTTGCAGTGATCTTAACGAGCTGCATGACATTCTCAAAGGCCAACCTAATGCGCTTCTTCATGTGGATGCCCTCGTGGACTGCCCAGTTCCTCTCCGCTGGAGAAGCAGCGGTGCGCTCTTCGTGTGTGGTCTTGCACAACTTAGGGGCGCCAGCCCCGTACTGGGACCACCAAGACGAGCACTCGATCGTCTCGGCATCACCGCTACACGCGCGCCCACGAGCACGCCCCTCCATCCCGCCCCAATCACCAAACCTTCCCTGCTGCATGTGGAAGCCCTCGAACTGCCGGCAGGCAAGGAGGTACTCCGCACCCTCCAACTCGAAACCCGTCTATGTTAGAATGTACCTCTTGGCTTGCCTCACAAGCCAACCATGGTACTCCTGCACCTCGCCGGAAAAATATCGAACATGTTGCCTGCGGGGGTTCAGTAAGAACCCAGCGCAGTGGGCCGGCTCTAACATGTGCTGCGTGCGTGCCTGCACACGCCTGATGATCCGGTCTACGATCGAGGACCCCAAAGGAGCGCATGCCTCCGAGTCCTTCACCCACTGCACAAGATCCTGTGCCCACTCGAGCATGAGTGACATGAACTGCCCTCCACGATCCATCCGCTGGAGCAACTGCATCACGGGCTCCATGATATGGACAATGGTGGCCACCCTTTGCCACCAAGGATCCCATCTGATCTATCGGCACACCCAACGCGCCATGTAGCAAACATCGGCAGACCACGGGATGGAGGCAAAAGCCCGTGCGTCATCCCCTCGCATCATGTCCTGCAAAGTGTCCTGCAGAGCCATGAGCTTCTCCAACATGGAGTACACAGACGCAAACGGTTACCGCGTCTCGCATGAAAGAACAAGACCGAGGTTGGGGCTGCGCTTCCTAAAAAAATGAAGGGCCGCCTGGTGGGTTTTGAAAAACACCACCAGCACACAAGCGTGTGTGATAGTATCAACAAACGCGTCGCAACACTTCCCCATGTCTGACAACAATTTGTTGCAGACATAGACTGAGCATGGGAGCCAAGTGATCCTCTCAATGCTGCAGGCATGATCTCCGAGGTCAGAGCCCTGGCAACCCCAACGTACGCTGACGCGGAGTCAGTGAATATCACATTGACCCGCTGCGGCCCGCCGAACCTAACTCATGGAAAATGGTGACCCATCTCCGAAGGACGCGCTCAACATCGTCCGACTCCCCCTCTCGATTGATCGTCGTGTACATGACGACCCCTCGAGGCCCTGCGGCAAGGAAATTAACGATCGGTCTCCCGTCTTGTGATTTCCTCCCGTCTAAGAGGATGGTGGCGCCAGTCACCCAAAATGGCTACCTCACCTCCTCCAACTCCTCGGCCAACTCGGCACGGTGCCTGTCCACTGCCTGCATGCTCGCAATCTCGCTGTGGTTAGGGAGCACAACGCGCGGCGAACTGCCAGGCTGCTGAAGAAACACCTGTTGATATGCCCTCCATGCCTCATTGCGAAAAACATTGAAGGAAACCCCACTGGAATAAAGCTAGCGAAGGAAGACCTTGTGGCGAGCAACCCACTCCGAGTCGCCACCGCACACCTCATCCACCTTCTGCTGTCTAAGCCTCTTTCCAGCTTGGGTGGTAGCTGGAACAGCTTCCCCTTCCTTCCTCTTGGAAGAACCCTCCCCCGTCGGATCCTGCGCAGGAGGCCGTTGCCCCTTGCCCCCTCACCGCTGCCAGTCCACGATCCTCTCCCCCGTCAATAGTTCAAACTCGGGCTGATCCTCGTGTCCCGGGAATCCCTCCCGGGATTTGCCACGTGCCTCGCGATCGTCGATGATCACGTCCCCCTCGATGCCACCGCTTCTACCCCCCAATGGCTGGTCGGGCTCACCATGCCCAATCTCTCCCCCCCCCTCCACCTCCCTCGGCCGCTGCACCGCCTCTCCTCCCGTCGCTGCACTGGCCCGGGGCACATCAACTCCATGCTCCGCTGCAAACCTGGAAATCCTCTCCATTTGCTCGACTTCAAACTTCAGTTAAGTCTGTTTTTCAATCTCGTACAAGGTCTCATCAGTGACGGCCTTGCAGTAATTGGTCTGCATGAAGTGCCTAGTTGCCTGGAATAGAGTCCCCTGGAATACTTCGTTGCAAAATGTGCAACGCAGCATCATCACCCCCTTGTTGTCGACCTTCTGGCCGACGACAACGTACCGATACATAGGGGACCCTCCCCTGAACGTGTCCTGCACATCCTGAGAAGCGGGCTCATGCTCGCGCCGCTGTGCCCTCCCCATCGCGAGTGTCCCGTTCGCCGCTCTGAACCTTCGACCCGAAGTCCTGTCGACCCTTCGAAATCAACCCGAGAAACCCTCCGAACACAACCTCCCCCGGCCCCGGCGCCCTTGCCTGCCCCTTCGCCCGCCCCCGCCCCTTCGCCCGCCCGTTCGCCGCTTTGAACCTTCGCGCCGCTGTGCCCTCCCCATCTATATGCAGTCTCTATCGCCCTCGTCTCTTACTATTTATTCTGTCACTTATCTCTCGTTATCCCGCTTCCGTTTGCAACATACACTACATATGCTCTCCGTCTCACTCCGTCAATCAACTCTTTTGTACTCACTTCAAATGTCACTGTCGCCGCTCTACAGTCTTCTTATCTCAAATTAGGATGAACGTGGCCATATCAGGGTCGATTGCGATGATGTAGAGATGGGAAACATTGACTCTCTCACACTTCCTCACTCTCTTTCTTCATCTCTCTTCTCTCTTGCTAACTCACTCTCCCTCGCATTAGTGCATTCTTTATCAGCCTCTCACTCTCTTTCTCACTGCTTACACTATGACATTTTGCAATCACACAGTGACACACGCATTCCGTCTCTCATAAATGAGATGCGTGTTGTCTCTTCTTTCCCGACAACACCCAAGTCCAGTTTAGTCACAGCTCCCTAGTGCCCTCGAACAGTCACCAGGATGACCAATGAGTTCTGCTAACTTCTGCTCTGCTATCTAGTGGCCGTGGACTTTTGGTACGTACGACACACACTTTCCCTCACTCTATCCTCTCTTTCTCTAATTTTTTCACGCCCTTGCTGTTTCCCTCACCCATGCGCTCTTCTCTCTCTCATGAACATACACACTTTCTCTTTCTTACTCCCTCTTTTTTCTCTCTCTCAATGCTTCCCCATTCACTCACCTCTTGCTCGTTGGTCACTGCCCACGGGAGCAGCGCTGACTCCATCCAGAGCTTTCACACGAAAGGGTACAAACGATGCTAGTTGTGTACGCTGCAGACTCTTCGTCCGTTGTCCCGTCCCCAACAAACGTTTGGTCCCTGGTTCCCTCCATGCCCCACCATAGCCAATGTTGTAGCGTCGCCTGCTTGAGTGCTGAAGATCGTTGGCACAAACAGTCATAGACGAGAATAGTTGTGTTTCGTACCTCTGGTCTAACCTCCTGTTGCAGGCGGACACTTGGTATGATTCCCTGTTTTGTCTCCCCATTCTGAATCCCTTGAGTCTCACTGGTCTTGATCTATATTCACACGAGCGGCCTCTAGCACAGATACCAGTGAATCGTCCAGCCCCGAGTTACTAGCACCAAGCTTGAAATGGAGCGTACCATTGGTATAAGCAGTATCAGGGCCACAGGCCCGGAATATTTCCCACCATCAGCAGCAGATTCGTTGGTGCTTCAAGTTGGGACTGAGGCCCAGTAGTTCTGGACCAGTGCCCAGAGTGAACTGTACCAGAACCGAACCAGCGACCGTATCGAAAAATAATAGCGTCGAACTGAATTGAACCACACTTGTATCAAATTAGTGACCATACCAGTCCCTGAGCGGACCTAACTAATCGTCGTAACCGGGCTTAGGCTACCATAACCGCGCTATCGTAACCAGAAACCACTATCGTTGGTCCAACCGTTGATGTAACCAGAGTCTGTGCCACAGTCGTGCAGGAGTAAATACTGCTCAATGACTGAGTGTCACTGCACTAATTTGGATAAACAAACCTAGTGCCATTAGAAGGTCCATCGAGTCACAAGAACACACCTATCTCACATAAATAACACCGTTTATGACAGAGCAAAATGGTCACCCCGTTGCTCGCATGCAACATCCAAAGCCTCGCTCCTCGCGACACTTAGCAAGTCATGCGAATGCGGTAAATTATAAACATTGCACATTCAATAACTCATGGGTTGTAACAAGGGTAATAAATAGGTAAAATGCTAGGCTACCAGAGTGGCCCGAGGTCACTTGCCCGTCTGGGCAAAAAAAAATAATAAAATAAAAAATTCTAAATTTGGTGAAGAATTTCGATGTGACCCTGAGGCAAACGTTGTTCAGTTTATTTTTCTACATGACATAGTTTGTTTTCGGATTTTTTTGATTTTTTTTGTTTTTGTTGGGACCCTCCTTGGTCATTCCACGGGCTCGCCACCTGGGACCCGGGAGGCCCGATTGGTAACCTAGGTAAAATGTGGATAAAATCAGCAAGGGCATAATTTGGTAGGAAATTTAAAATTTTAAAATAATCATTTGTTTTTTTTTTTTCAATTTTATATTTTATTTTTTATTTTTTAGTTTATATTAAAATAGATAAATATAGGGTCTCATTTTTGCACCAACTGATTACGGTACCAAAAGTTGTGTGAAGGCTTGCTCGCACGTTCAAGACCAACGACCAGCTGATGACAGCCGGTATGGAAACAGGTATGAGATGGGCAGCAAAGGACAACGTCATGATCAAGAAAATAACGTTTCTCATTTTATAAAATCCAAAGGCCAGTATTTGTAACGGATCGAAGAGAAATCGGGGTTCATGTTGAGACCCTAATTTCTCTCAACGTGTATAGCAGGAAAACACCCCGAAACGCCCCTTACTAACCGTGTTAGAAACCAGTTGTCGAAATTTTGCATGGCAGACTGACTTTTGCCCCCCGACACCACGAATTGTTGCCAAGAGTAAACTCTGAAGGCCGT